CTATACTATTTTGCATTATAGTTATTTGTACACATGCAAAATCTTTCCTACACTATCAACCCCATAGGGATAGTCCATCATATCATATGCAGGTAACTCGTATGTTAAATAAACATAACACATGAATTGTAATTAAAACATAACTTTATTTTTACCCTCCAACTTTGTTCAGTAGCAGTAATCTTCTGCTGGCTCTGGCTAGAGTTTTCCACAGGCCCGTGGCTGTTCTGATCTTTCTTGAATAATAGATTGTCCTAGAATCTTTTTGTTGTTGTTAATCTTCACACAAGGATATATTTTCCATTGCTTTTCAGAGGGAGAGTGGAAGGGAGGGAGGAGGGGGAGAGAGAGAGAAAGAACATTGATGTGAGAGAGATACATCAATCTGTTGCCTTCCACATGCACCCCAGACGGGGTGGGGAGCAAACCCAAACCCAAAACCCAGGTACGTGCCCTGAACTGGGAATCAAACCTTCGACCCTTCGGTGCACAGGGCTGGTATTCAAAGTATTGAGCACACTCGCCAAGGCATGTCCTAGAATCATTTTTGCAAACACAGTCATAATGCAGTGATCACTATGCTCAATCCAGTGTAGAAAACAAAACCCCAGAATTGATATTGTTTCCTCTCTTGGCCTTGCTGGGACAGGCACCTGTTTTCTAGTCTCTCCCTGCTCACTTCTTTCCTCACATTTGATGTGTTTTATAAAATGCAGTTATCCATTTAAGTGCTCGTTTGTTCCATCTCTGGCCAATAGGAACCTTTTCATGTTGAGTCCGAATCCTTTTGCTATTACCCTAGTAATCCTCTATGGCGTCCTTGGTCTCTTTCTGATAAGATGTTTCAGGTTTATTTTATAAAATTCCTGCCTCGGGTCCTGAATAAACTGTTTCTCTGAGAGACCTTGGTTTTGGGTTGTTTTGAAGTGGGAAATGGTATGTCAGGGCCATAATTTGTATGCTAAAGATGATCACTACTACCTCCAATTAACACTTGGGAAACTACAGAGTCTATATTGACCTCTATATTACATCTGTATCTCTTTTTTCCAAGACACTCATGGTTTTCAGAGGCACGGGGGATTGGTAGAATTAGATTACCCTATAATTACTTATTTACTTTATCCCACATCACAGACATAATAGTCTTTGAATAACAATATTTCTTGTTTCAGGAAAAATTTCTAATTATATATTTTAGTATTTTTTCTCTTGCTTTGATTTTCTTCATCAAGAATTTATAGTGACCATTTATTGGGTCTTCTTGGACTACTTTCAATATTGTTATTATTATTATTTTTTTAATCCTCACTAGAAGATATTTTTTCCAGTGCTTTTCAGAGAGTGAAAGAGAGAGAGAGGGAGAGAGAAACATGGATGTGAGAGAGACACATCGTTTGGCTTCCTCCCACTCTCGCCCTGACTGGGGCGGAGCCTGCAACTGAGGTACTTGCCCTTGGCCGGAATCAAACCGGGGACCCTTCAGTCCTCAGGCCGACTCTCTAACCACTGAGCCAAACCTGTCAGGGTAATATTGTTATTTTCTCTCCAATTCTTTTTACCTATTCATTTCTTTTGAATTTTAAAACTTGTCTCATTTTCACCTGTCATTTTATTAAGGCATTATCTGTTTTGCTAATTCACTGTTGTGTTCCTTCTTATTTAGACTTTGCTTCTGAAATAAGTTTATTTTATTTCTAATTCTTTTTTGAATTGTCACCTCATTTTGAGACTTTCTGATCTACAGTATGCTGTTTTTCATGTCCTGTGACTTATTTTAGCTCTTTTCCTATTTGCTCTGCGAACATGCCTTTCTGGCATGCATTCATAGTTTGTACGGGAGTGATTCCGTTCATTATTCTCTTATAATAACTTTGTATGGCATTTGACCTTAACACTTCCCTGTTTCTTAATTAGTGTCCAAATTTTTACAAGGAAGAATGACTCAGGGTAGCTTTTCTAACTTCAGAGAGCTCTATTTTCTGTGTGTGTTTTCCTCCTCTTTTTATAGAGTTCAAAACCATTGTGGCTTGCCCTTCGAACTCTCTTTCTCTCCTTTACCTTTATTTGAAACTTTTCTCCTTCTGGTCTATGGCATCCCTGTCCGATTCTATTCTAATGCCACTCCTACTAGTTACTGTCCCTGGAGCGAGCCACTGTGGCTCAGTTTTGAAAGTTCTTGGGAACTCGACTTCTCCAGCCCTCCTGCAGCAGTTTCCTGTGATGACCGGCTAAGGAGTGGGTGCCCCGCTCCCAGTTCCAGCGGCTGTTTGCCACTAGCCCCCTAGGCTCCGGTGAGCCCCCTTGGGCAGCTCTCCTACTCTCAGGTCTGTCAGATGCCCTGTTGCATCCCTCGGCTTCCTCCTGCACAGAGCTGCTATCGTGCAGGTTATGGCTATTGTAGTTTGACCTCATCTGTGGCCTGTGGGGCAGTTTGTTAGCTGGGTATAGTTTTGTTTGTCTGTGGGGTTTTTTGGTAAATGTTATTAATGAGTTCTGGCTTTGCTATAAAGCTGCTCTGCTGGTTTTGATGTGGGGATTTGGAAAGACTCGAAAGCCATGCTGGCACTACAACAATGAACAAACAATGAACGCTCGAATCATAAGAACATACAATTTTCTAAAATCTATTCTGTTTCTCTTAATAAGTCTCTTTCAAAGAGAGGAGGAGACGCCTTTGATTCTCCAGAGTTGTCTTACTTTCTTATTAAATGGTCTTCAAAATACAGTGTTTGTTTTTTTCAACTCTGTGTCCATTGTCCACCTTCACATGAATCTTTTCTTACATATAAACATCTTTACATAGATATCCTGGAATTTTTACCCTTTCTCACACCCTCCCTTTCTTCCTTCCTCTCTTACACCAAAACAAAGATGAATAAAGGGGTTGTCTGTGTTTTCAATTATTGACTTACATCCAAGAGAAATTGCAGCAGATTGTGTTCGAGCCCCACCTATATCCATCACCCTCGCCACGTCCTGCACTTTGCGCCACTTCCAGTTGCTGGCCCCTGCGCTTACTTGCTTATGAGCTCTCCCCGGCCACCAGAGCCTGCGTGGTCTACCTGAGCAGCAGGCTAGAGGTGCGGCGTGGAGTAGTTCTTAACTAATGTCTGCTGACATATATGGTAGACAATCAGCACACTCAAAGATGTCCACATCCTAATCCTCCAAATCTATGAATATTTTACCTTATGTGGCAAAAGTAATTCTGCAGATGTGACTAAGTAAATGATCTGGAAATGGGAGATTATCTTGGATTATTCAGGCAGGCCTAATCTTATCACAGGAGCCCTTAAAAATGGAAGAAGAAAGTCAGAGAGAGAAATTTGAATATGCTGTGCTTCTGGTTTTGGAAATGGAGGAAGGGGACACCAGCCAAGCAAAGCAGATGGCCTGGAGCAGCTGAAAAAGGAAGGAAATGAATTCTCCCCTAAAGCCCCCACGTGCGGCTCTGCTACCACCTTGATTTTAGCTCAGTGTGACAGTTTGCACTTCTGACCTCCATCCAGAACTGTAAAATAATAAAGTTGAATTATCTTAATTCACCACAGTTTTGTTATAGGAGCAACAGGAAACGAATAAAAGGGCTGAATGTCCCAGCTTCCTCAGTTCTTAAGTGGGATGACTCTCAGGCATCTGTTCAATGTTGGCTCTCAGAGTTCCCAGAGGTGGGTGGGGAATTAGTGGCTTATCCACAATGGTGACTTGCTACAAAACGACCCATTTATTAGCTTCCTTCCCTTTCCAGTATTTTTAACTCCCCTATTGTGTAGGGAACACCTGCGAATAAACTGCTTGCACTTGTGTCCTTGAATTGGGATTCGGTTCAGGGGAACCCAATCTGAAACAGAACTTGAGATGGCTTTGGTGAGAAACCGATGTACGTACTCACTCAAATTCTTCATTTGGATTGAAGGAAAAGAGTTTTATAATTACAAATTTTTATCACTTCTAAGAAGCAGTGATGCAGGGGCCTCACTCAGATGGTCACAATACAATCTGCCTATCTTTGTTACAGAGATTTTCTTTTTTTTGGGGGGGGGGTATGTTTATTGTCTGATTCTTCAGCAGTTAGAATAAGATTGCATCGTGGGCTTCCAGAAATGATTCCACTACCGCGAGGGGCTGTGAATTTTAGGAGGAAATACGAGCAGATAATACAGATTGGCTGACTCTACACCAGGCTGACTCTCGACCTTGGCACCATTGACTTTTTTGGGCTGGGTACTGTTTTTGTTGTGAGGTCTGTCCTGTGCATTGTAGGATATTTAGCAACATCCCAGGAGGGACTCTATCCACGTGATACTGTTATCACCCCCACCCCAGTTGTGACAAGGAAAAATGCCTCCAGACATTGTCAAATATCCCTAAGGGATGAAACACCCTTCCGTGAGAGCCCCTCCTCTATATAACTCCAACTCCTTTTTATCCTGCCATCTGGGGCACTGGAGGTAGGCAAGCTACAGACCACATTTCCCGGCCTGCCTTACAGTTAAGGCTCTGCGTGCACGACTTGGAACATGGGAGTACACATCATGAGGCAGCAGCCATGTAGCTCTTCTGACAGCACTGTCATCGAGGTGTTAGTTGTGTAGTGTTCTGTTTTGTTTCTGGAACAGCCGTGGTGAAAGTCTCATCTCTGTCTTCATAGGTGTCGAGGGCAGTGGGAGCACTGTGATTTTGTTATAACAGCCCTACTGAATGACCAGGTAGTTCTCTTTGCTGTTTTTTCTCACTATGTAGCAACTAAATTGTTTTCCTGGTACATCAAGAAATTTGAAATGAATCCTTTTCTGATTAAACTAGCTATAGACAATTCTGTTACCTGAAATGCAATTATTATTACCAGGACCATGTCCAGGGAGCGTCACACCTAAATTGTGGCTTTGTCTTCATGAAGGAAATAGGGAGAAAAGTACTAAGGATTTAGATTTTTAGACTGGAAAGCTCATAAACCTACTTATATAATGTCAACGCTTGGGTGGCAGAACCCCATGATGACTAAGCCTATAACATTAGCCAAAATGCTAGGAAACACTGATAGTATTAGTGCTTGCGTCCTGATTCTTACTGCTTTCAGTGAAGTCCTGCAAGAAATAGATCAGCTTAAACTAGCGGTAGAAGGTAAATGGCACTCGGCTAAGTGAGGCCATGGGCCTGTGACCTGCAATCTGAGCATGTTCTGGCCACCATGGCCAGAAGAATATACCTAAGGAACTAACAGTAAAAGTAGAGCAAGATCCCTACTGTACAGGACAAGGCCTGACAAGCCAGCCCAATAATTACCACCCCCTGAGTTCCCATTGAAAGAACAAACCAGTCACACCCGGCCAAGCATAACCCCATTATTCATTCTAAGACACTGTGTTTAAATCATTTCTATTGTGTTGCTAAAGGTCCCCCCTTGTTTCCTGTACCAAAAGCTGACAGCCTGACAAATTCTTGGAAACCCTTTTACCGAAGTGCCTTTGTGGTTACTGAGCATAAAGTGAAAGAACTGAGGGTCAGGGCTGCCGTTCGGCTCTTACGGGGGTGAGACGCCGCAACTGTAGCCGCCGGCCAGCTAATAAAGGCTCCAAAATTCAAACACAAACTCTGGTGGTCGTCTGTTGCAANGGTGAGACGCCGCAACTGTAGCCGCCGGCCAGCTAATAAAGGCTCCAAAATTCAAACACAAACTCTGGTGGTCGTCTGTCGCAAGACCCCCAGAACAAGCAGACCAAGCCTTCTGTAATTTGGAGCCTTGCAGAGCTAAAAAACTCAACTGTGGTATTTATTTACTCAAATGAGTTGAAAACATGTCCACACAAAACCCTGCACATAGATGTTTAATAGCAGCTTTATTCACAATTGCCGAAACTTGGAAGTAGCCAATAGGCCCTTCAGTAGGTGAGTGGATAAATAATCTGTGGTATATGCAGACAATAGAATATTATTCAGCATTAAAAAGAAATGAACTGTCAAGCCATGGAAAAATCTTAAATGCATATTTTACTAAATAAAAGAAGCCGACATGAAAAAGCTATACACTGTATGATTCCAACTAAATGACATTCTGGCTACAGTGTTCTCCAGGGGTTAGAGGGAAAGGAAGGAAGATGAAAAAGCAGAACACAGTGTAACTACTCTGTGTGATACTATAATGGCGAATAAATGTCATTCTACATTTGTCAAAACCCATAGAAGGTACAATACCAAAAATGAACTCTAATGCAAACTATGGACTTTGTGTGATAATGTTGTGTCAATGTTGGTTCACCTATTGTAACAAAAGTACCATTCTGGTGCAGAATATTGACTGTGGGAGGGGTTGTGCTTCTGTGGGGAAAGGAAGTATATGGGAACTCTGTATTTTCTGTTCAACTTTGCTGTGAACCATAAAAAATAAAATCCATTTTAAAAACCCAATCACTTCCCTACCACGACAGTGGGGACTAAAACTGTGGTATTTACTTGGAAGGGGATATACGTTTCTTTTATTCTTTAATTTTTATTGAACTTATTGGGGTGGCATCGGTTAATAAAATTATATGTTTCGAGTATATAATTCTCTAATACATCATCTGTATATTGTATTGTGTGTTTACCACTCAAAGTCAAGTCTTTTTCTGTCTCCATTTATCCCCCTTTCTACCCTCTTTTACCTCCCCTTGTCCTCCTTTCCCTCTGGTAATCACCATGAATATATGCACCCCTACGTTCATTGCAGCATTGTTTACAATAGCCATGATTTAGAAGTAGCCCAAATATCCATCAGTAGATGAGTGGATAAAAAAATCTGTGTTGTATTTCCACAATGGAATACTACTCAGGCATAAAAAAGGGAAATCTTACCTTTTTCAACAGAATGGATGGACCTGGAGAGCATTATGCTAAGTAAAATAAGCCAGTCAGAGAGAGACAAATACCATATGATTTTACTTGTCTGTGGAATCTAATGAACAACATAAGCAAACAAACAAAATAGAAACAGACTCATAGAGAACAGATTGACAACTATCGGGGGGAGGAGGGTTGCAGGGCCGGGTGAAAATCATGAAGGGATTAAGCAAAACAACAACAGCTCATAGACACAGAAAACGGTATGGTGATTACCAGAAGGGGATAAATTTTTGATCTCAAGTTTTTTTTAAACAAAGTTCCTTAAGAGTTCTTTGCATAATAATTGGAACTAGCTCATTGATAAAGATGAGATTAAGAATTGCCTTCCCATTCAGTCCTCATTCAAATAGCCTCAGGATAGCTATCATTTAATGGGAGCTGGAGGATGGGCGGAGCCTAGTGGCCAGTAAGTAGGTCTTCTGGCTTAAAAATCCATGACTATACAAGTTCCTTAACTGTGGTTATTTGTGCATGAAACTTACTAAAAAAAAGAATGGAAATACATCCTAGTAGATCTTTGAGGGAACCTCAAAACTAACTTATAATAGCCTATGACTGTTAAACACCACACACTGTCCCTGGACCCCTACTTGCACAAACAGAAGGTAGAGTGATAAAGCTGTGCATCCCCTGAAGTCATCCTCTCCAATTCCCACCTCAGCTCTGGTCATAAAGGAAAAATGACCAGTGTACTGGAGGCTATGATGCACCATCCAGATTCCCTTCGGGACTGAAGGGCTTATTTCTCCAGCTCCTGGGAGTGTTTCTGGCTGTCAGTCTTGGCTAGGAATTTGCTGAAGACAAGTACTTCACCAAAGGACATCCCACCTTCCCTGGAAAGAGCCTGCATCCAATGTGAGTACATAAAGTCCCAGCCTTCTTAGCCAAACCAGATACTGTAAGGGACCAAACAGTTTCAGACCTCCCTGTGCCTGGCTGAAGTTTTTACTGAGACTTCATCACAGTCTCCCCCTGCTTTATCCTGCTCTCTTCTTTGTCCCTGCACTTGATGTCTAGACCAGTCTAATAAATTCCCTGAATGCTAATCTCTGCCTCAGAGTCTGCTTTCCAGGGAACTTAATCTTCATAAGTGAGGAGGGAAAATACAGAGAGTAAAGGCTGACGCAGTGGGATGCACTAAGGAATTTGTCCACTGTTGCAGCAGGCACTCTCATTCGTGACCAGTAGCTCTTTATTTTTCTTTTATACCCTTTGCTGGATAGAATTGTGTGTGTGTGTGTGTGTACATGTATATCTTTTTCCAAAACCTTAAAAGAAGTCACACCGACGTTTTTACCCAAAGCACGAAGTAGCCTTCTATGTAATATGGAGCATTGTGGCACCATGGCCTAGAAAAGATATACATAAACTATGTTATTTTGGTGAAAATGGACCAAATATTATCCAATTAGAATTGAATATTGTTATATACTAATTTGAACTATGAATATGTATTCTTTCTTCATTTGGGGAGGCAGTTGTTCTAAAGGTGGAACTTATTTAAGTGGTATTTTATTATTGAATGTAAGACTTTCATGGAAATTTTAAGCATATAACGTGCTTTTTAGTTCCTGGGTCATGGAACCATGGGAAGACGCATACAAACCTGATGGGAAAGATGTGTCCTTCAAAGATCTTGACTTTGGATAAGCTATCAAGGTGAAATATTATTATTACCCCTTTTGGAGAGGAAAGCGTGTTCCTCATGGATATTTAGGTGGCCAGAGTGGTAGATGTGGTAGAGACAGCTTTGGCCCTTCTTTCTTTTATTTTCTTTTTAAAAAAAACCTCACCCAAGGTTATTTTTCCCAGTACTTTTCAGAGAAAGTGGAAGGGGGGGAGAGAGAGAGAGAAACATCGATGTGAAAGAGATATATCGATTGGTTGCCTCCTGCATGCACCCAGACCAGGGCCGGGGATGGAACCTGTAACCGAGGTAAGTGCCCTTGACCAGAACTGAACCCAAGACCCTTCAGTCCTCGGGCTGACTCTCTAACCAGTGAGCCAAACTGGCTAGGGCTAGCCCTTCTTTATTAATAATAGAACCTAGAAATTCAGATGGGTACTTTTTCTACCAACTACCTTTCATGTTTTTCTACCTTCTAAAAATAGATTCCCCAGTGAGACAATATTGCTCATTGAACAAGGATAAGGGAAAGCAAAGTAAAAAGTTGTATATTCAATTTGTCATAACTATGCAAAATTAATGTGTTGGACTGGGCTCTCCCAAAAGCAGACTCCAAAACAGGATGAAATATGCAAGGATTAGATTAGAGGAAATGCCTGTGAGAAAAAATGGTATATTTCATGTATGTTAACTTAAAATATATAGGAGAACTGGGAGGACTATCAGACCACAAAACAAGCTTGGTGCCGAGTGGCCAAGAGCGGGAAGTAGGTTGGGTGGAAGCACCCTAGACGGCTGTTGTACTCCAGCGAAGGCTTTGAAAAGCTGTGGGGGGGTCTTGAAGCCAAGTGGGTCATTGCAGGAGTCCTGTGTCTCCCAGAAATTGACCTGCCTGGTGTTTATGTTGTATTCAGTCACTGACTGGGAAGTATGGCCTCATGGCACAAGTGGGATGATGAATTTCAGAATGCAGGATTTGAGGATCTTGGTCAGTTACATCCCGTGTAGTAGGAAACCTATAAATATGCCACCTTTTTTTTTTCATGTAACCCCTGTAGTCCCTCCTAGAAGAACAAGTTGATGGTTTCACACCCTAACATTTTGCTGAGATCTGAAGCTGTAAACACTTCAAAGCATGTGTACATCTGCAAAAGTAAAAGATAAAACAATTTGCAAAGTAATGATGCATTCATAAGTTGGTCTCAAGAGAAAAGCATTGAGATAAACATATACAATAGCACAAAAATATAAGCACATTAAAAATAGTACACACCGGTGCATAGGATATAAGAGAAGCCAATTCTCTTTCTGCCCATGCTTCAAAGATACAAAAAACAAGACATAAGAAGTCCATACTTTTCTGAATGGGAGGTCAGAAAGGAAAATGTGTTTATTGGGATTCTAATTTTGTGCCAGGCACTGTGGCAGGTGGTTTCATGTATGTTAACTTAAAAGATACAGTACTATTTATGTCCCTTATTGAATACTGATAACAACCTTCCAGTAGGTGCTATTATTTCTGTTTTACAGATGAAGTAAGGGATTCAAAGGGGTCATAAATAAAAAGTTATAAATAAGAAAATAAAATATTTGGAACTTGAGAGTATTCACAGTG